AATTTTGCATTACATTAAGTGATAAAATTGTTTTGTTGATCGTTGCACAAATGTGACAACAAAGAATGTCCACCATGTTTCAATGATATAAGTGATAATATAAATGATGATATAAAAATGAGTTAAATAAATACAGATGTATTTTTCGTGATTAAACAAGAATGTTATCTAAATTCTTGATGATATAACTGATGAGATAATAATATATTAATGCATTATTCATGATAAATCATCAAATGATTAAAGCGAAAAAAGTTCTCTTTTTAAAATTACTTGACAAGAAAAAATGGATGTGTGATTATGCATTATAACTGATGGAGGTAATAAAATATGAATGTAGTTCACAAATGAGAATGCTCTCTCCCTTCTAAATGAACAATAAAAATATTTTTTTTACATCAGATATTTTATTACTAAATAGTAATGATGACCCTTCACATGAAATATCACGTGATACCGACTAATCATGATTCATTTAAATTATACTCGGGCCAAAACCGACTTATCAAGCTTACATATTTATTTATCTATCTTGTATAATTGCATTATCAAGCAATTTATGGTACAAAAATTGGTTAAATATATAAAAAAAATAATATCATAGAGAAAGTAGCAGTGACATAGCGAGAACATTAAATACACTTATAATAATAATATTGAAGGTCATGTAGATCAATAGTTGGGTGACCGTTAATGTTTTAAGGTCATACATAATTTTAAAATCCATATTAACGATGATTTGGTAACATATAATTTTTTATATGATAAATAATTACGGTTCACTCTTTAGAATTTATATGCTCCATATATAAATCATCACTGTTATAACGGACATTTTTTCATAAGCCAAATAGTCCATTATAGAGAGAGTGAACATCCTAGACTTTTGTTTGCTCTATCTGGGTGTATTTGTGAAGTATTTATTTAAATTATGGCACAAGACCTACCTTCCCTAACTTTTTGGACCTTAATTAAGAATTACGAGTTTACTTGGAATAATGAAGTATATACAGACAGCGATCCGCAGAAGAATGTCACACAAATACATAATTTTTTTTTTGTAAAAAAAATATTCATAACATCTTTTAAAAAATGGAACAAATCGGCATTTCTAGGTTAGAGTCTTATACTCTATCTTTTACTTACTCCTTGTCCGTCATCTATCTCTTATAAACTATAAATTTATTTAGAAGAGAACAATCGCTTTCTCCAAGAAGTGCTGGCCAGCGTGAAATGTCCTTTTCTCCAAAAAGGAGGAGTCCATCTCCCAGAAATAATCGTAGTAGTGGAAGAGATGATAGATACAGAGATGATCGTTATGCTAGAGATAATAGATATAGCCGTGATAGTCGTGATAGTCGTGATAGTCGTGGTTCTTATGGTAGAAGCGGTTATCGTGATGATAGAGGATATCGCGACTATCGAGACTATCCTTATCCTTACGAAAGAAGAGGCCCTCCGAGGAGAACTAAACCAATTGATCGGTAGATATTCACCTTTCCTTTTAAAGCATAATTAATTATAAATAACAATACTTTCATTATCAATTAATCTGTTATCAGTGGCACTGAAAAAGAAAGGAGCGATACAACGACACTTTATGTTGGCAATATACCATATACATTTCATGAGAATGATGTGGCTGATATGTTTGAAAGATATGGTCGGTTGAGGAAAGTCACCGTTCAAATTGATAATTATACTGGAAGAAATAAAGGGTTATTATTAATTCAATATTTGTACTTTATATAGTCAAAAACAATTTATATTTATTCACAAACGCTTTATTTTAGATTCGCCTTTGTAGAATTTGAAGATAGGAAAGATGCAGAAGATGCGTATGATAAATATTATGGTTCCAATATTGAAGGTCGTAGATTAAAGTTAGATTGGGATATTGGGTTATCTAGAAAAGATCAACACCGTAAAGAAAAAACTGGTTTTTCAGAGTACGGGCAAGTTTTTTTTTTCTCTTTTTTTTTTTTGAGATACAATTTATAATTAATATAATAACTTTTTTTTTCAAAAAATAAAAAATTCTAGACGTCCAAATTATGATTCATGTATGTATAATATATAGATAATATTTTATATGTAATTAATTATTAAAATCTTATTGTTATCGTTTGTAGATGATCGTGGAACTTCACCACCTGAAGTAAGGGAATTAAGTCCAAATTATAGATCTGGTGCTCATTCATCAAGTCCTTATTCCCATCAATATTAATGAATGAATGTTAGGTTTTTATTATTATAATATTATTATTGAAGGAACATTTATTATTAATATTTTGCAAAAAAAAAAAAAAAAATTATATATATATATATATATATATATATATATATATATTGGTTAATGATTAATTTCTATTCAAAAATACTTTTTTTTGAAAAAGCTAGAAAACTTTTTTTTATTTGGAAATATTAATGGATGGATTATTAATGTACTAGATGATGACACCATCAACAAAAATTACAAATATTAACATACATACATAAGTACATACATACATAAATACATACATACGTACATTCATAAATATCTATTCTTTTAATTTGTTGAGATTAGCAAGACTTTGATTGATTGGTTGATTTCATCAAGAATTTCTAAATATATTAAAAAAGGGTTTCTTTGAAAAAAAGGATGGATTGGTTGATTTATTATTTGTTGATTTCTTGATGGTGATGACGATGAATGATGATAAAATTATTCATTGATGAGTTGATTTATTTTTATTTGTTGATTGGTGAGCTGATTTGTTGGATGATAAATTGATTTGTAATAGATAAAAGTTGATTTGCAGTACATAGAAAAGTCGATCTTTTAAGGTGTCAATTAAATTTTGTGGACTAAAAATATGTGTTAATGAGATTAAAAAGGACATGAATGAGTAAAAAATTGAGTTTCACAAGGTCTGATTTGTTTTGTCACGATTTGTAGATTTATCTGATTTCTTTATTGATTTTACTTCTCTAATATTATATTATATTATATTTGGAGTTGTAAAAGAAAAGGATAAAGATCAGTGATGAATTGAAATTCTAAAGTGAATTAAGAGGATGGGCATGAATATATGAAGATCACATTCTGTACAAAGTTATTAGTAGTATATATCTTAAAAACACATACATTACGAAATTCTAGATATTGCACTAATAAAATAAAATTTTACGCGATCCATGCTCAATTATAAATATTTTATTTTATTCCACTATATGAATAACAAAAGGTTTTTTCGTTACAGTCAAATCCGGATTTTTGTTCAACTCCTGTTTTTATTAATTACATATATATATACACTTCCTGGTCATAAATATAAGGACACTTGCAGATCATCGGAAATAATTGAATAAAGAAACATGAAAAAA